CAACACAACCCAAATCAAATTATTAGTTCATTGTAAATGAACGCAAAGAAAAAACCCAAAAAAACAAGATTCACTACAAATAATGGATTATTCAGAGAAAATTACTTGCAGAAGATAATTACTGCACGCGAAGGTTGAGACATCCGATCCGCATACACTTTTAGCGTCATTTTTCTCTCCAACACTGCGGGTGATCACTCTGGATGTAATTTTTGTGTTGGTTATCTCTACAGGTTCCTTTAGAAAAGCCCTCAAATTCCTTATTGACTTTTCCACGTATGAATATTTTCAAAGTGATCCAACGGTGTTCAAAAGAAATGAATAAAACAATCACATATGATTTTGTTAGAAAGAAAATAGTATCATTGTAGTTAACAAAAAAAAAATCAAACACTCCCTACATAAAATTACAAAATTAGCTCAAATACAGATAAAAACTCTCTCATCTTCTTCACTTTGAAAATCTCAAAAATATCGATAATTGAAGAAAAAAATTGTTTTCTATGAGGTACTTCGAATCGGTAAGTATATTTACGTATGTTTAATTTCGTTTTCGTTAAATGTGTATACGTTTTACTCGATAAATTAAGATTCGACATAGGTAACATGCGGATAAATTTTTTTAACAAATGTATAATTTTTTTAAGCATGAATGGGAAAAAAAATCATCTATATAACTTTTCGATTGGTTCGTCTTAACGGCTGTTACAAAAAACAATCGACCAGCTGCTAACCGTAGAGAAAAAATCGGCTGTTAACAGCCAAATCCTACTACAGCTGAAATTTCGGTTGTTAACAGCCGGTTGTTAAGTGGGTTGTAACACCGACTGTTAAGTCGGCTGTAACACCGGCTGTTTTGTTTTTAATAAGTTTATATTCCCACTGTAAGTCGAATTTTTGAATGAATGTTTACAAATTTTGTTTTGTCATGCACAGATATGAGGATTATACTCCTGATTTGTTATTTTGTTGATTTTGAATTGGATGAAAATAATTGATGGACATGGAAATGGACGAATAACATACAAGTTAGTATGGTAACACATATAAAATAGACTACATCGTATGAGGAACTGTACCATGATATACAGAACAAGCGAAACATCAGTTCATCTCGATACAATATGATATTGAGATATCAATTTAGAGAGAATTTGCCATATTCAATTCCACATTTAAATGTTACATTTGATATTGAAGTGAATTATCTGTTTGAGTTGAACAAAATGCAAGTGACACAAATTTTCTTGATTTTAGTAAGGAAGGACGACGCAGAAGGTAGAAATGAATATTCGAATGGACCTGATGATAATGTAAATAATTTTTGGGACACAGTAAAGATAGCTCGCGAGGATGACGCTAATATTTTTGAGACAATTTTTCTTTATTGTGATATCACTGCGACACACATAATTCAATTGGTGGTTGAGGACAGGGATAATGTAAATAAATTTACAAATGATGATTTAATTGCTTTTTCCCGTTAAAGACATGAACTGGGCGGGAGCTCAAGGGCCGGAACGAACAAACCTTCATCTAATTCTTCACGTGTGGTTCCCGATGATGAAAATTTACATGTTGAGCAACTGTTTGAAACAAATAAAGATTTGTAGGAAGCTGTGCACCTGCTGGCGTTGAAATTCAACTTTGAGTTCAAGGTAAAGAAATCAAACAAATCCTTGTCGACACTTATTTACGTTGACGATAGATGCCGTTGGTGGTTGCAAGCGACTAAGATAGATACAAATGAGTATTTTATAGTTCGCAAGTATATACGGGAACATACTTGCGAATTGGGGATTTGTCAAAACAATCACAGGCGAACTTGATCATGGTTTATTGGTCGACAGATAATGCACAAATATCAAAACCCACGGACGATCTTCAAACCTTCAGACATCATTAACGACATCTGACAAGAGTACGAAGTGGTCGTGAGCTACTAGAAGGCCTAGAAGGCTAAAGAATGCGGGCTTGACTGAGGAACGTTATGCTAAATTGGCCAGATACTGTCATAATTTGGGGACAACTAATCACGGTTCCATTTTTTCATTGAGACGGAGGGCGAGAATTGCTTTAAATATTTATTCATGACTCTTAGACAATGCATTAGAGGATTTAAAAATGAGGCTCTTGGACAATTCATTAGAGATTTTCAAAATGCGATGCGACCCGTAATTTTAGTCGACGGTATAACTCTGAAATCGAGATATGGGGGCTAGCTAATTATGCTACATGTCAAGATCCCAACATCCAGATTTATCCACTTGTATTCAGCGTAGTCGATAGCGAGAATGATAAGTCAATGCGTTGGTTCTTTACGAAGCTTAGGGAAGTGATCGGAAAAGTCGAAAAATCTTGCTTTCGTAACTGATCAGGGTCAGTCTCTAATAAATGCTATCGCAGAAGTTTTCCCTGAAGCACATCATGGGTACTGCATGTACCATATACAGGGTAATTTGAAGACTAGATACTGTAATCTGAAGACTAGATACTGGGGCCAAAACACCGTTTCATTATTCAGGAGGGAGGCCCAAGCTTACAGTGTCAAGAAATGTAATAAGTTTATGGTCGAAATAGAAAATAAGTAGTTGCAGGCCTGGGATTATCTTACAAAAATGGGGATAGAACATTGGGTGCGATCACATTTTTCAGGACGTCGGTACAACTTGATGACGTCGAACAACATAGAGTCTCTGAATGCATTGTTCAAGAAGGATAGATAGTTGCCAATTCTCGCAATGATTGAGAACATATGTACCAAGCTGCAGCAGTGGTTTCACGATCGACGTGCGGAATCGCAGAATTGCTCAAGCTGGCTAGCCCCGAAGCCGTGATGTTGTGAAACCACTTATAGGTATTCGAGGTCTTCTTATCCCCAATGATGCGGTTATCTTTGAAAAAATAGAAAAAATGTTAAAAAAGGTATAGATGAGTTAGAATAGTGTACTTCATTAAAATTGTAAAATACTTACTCCGGCTTAATTACCCTTCACTCCGCCTCGAACGCTTTCCATTTGGCTGTGTCCAACTCGCGGAATAGATTGGGTTATATCCCGTCGACGAACGTCCTCCTCTTCTCCTCGACCGTGAAGGGAGAAACGACGTACTGTGAAGGCAACTTGACCCTTTTGTCGACCACCTACTCTGGGACGTCAACGGCACGCCTTTTCCTCGTAGCCACGTCAGACGTACGCTCGTCCTCCACCTCGGGGACCACCTTTTTCTCGGGGCTCCCCACCGTCGAAGCACTCCACCTCCTCCGAGACCACTGCCTCCGTTCTACCCTCATCCGGGGACAAAAAGAATGATTGCAACGTAGCATCATCCACCTAGAAATGACCCCTTCGTCACCCCGTCTCATGCTTATTATATCGCCTAGGAGGGCTGCGATCGCATCCTGAAGATCTTTCATGTGGCGACGTAAAACTCCAACGTCATTAGATAAATCCTCAATCCGTCCTGTAACACCCCGAAAATTTAGAATAAAATCATTTGTTTTATAAATTTTATTTTATGATTTTTGAAAGTTGAGGGACAAAAATAAAATATGTTTTAAAT